TTGGTATGCATTTTATTGTTCATTTTATTATTCATTTAATCCAGTTAATTATTAGTTTGTTGGTTAACTAAACACTAGTTACTAGCCCATTGCTTATGTTGTTACATGCTTTATATGATTACTTGTGACTATAACTTGTAGGAAGAAAGTTAAGATCTATGACTCTATTGAGGTTGAACGCATTGAAATTACAGAAGATTGGATAGTATATGATAATGAGGAACCTCTATTATTTGATTATGCTGGCTTARAAAATATGTTCGAGGGGGATGAGGCAACATATCCAATAATGGAGGCACATAAGAAAAAAACATTCAGAAGTTAATTAGTATTTAGTAGTCCATACTTGAATTTGATCTTTTGACTTAAAAAAAAATCCCTTATACAAGTTCTTAATACTTGCTATTTTTATAAGTCTTGTGGTTGACTTTGCACTCTAATTTTTTTAATCATTACACAGATGATGATGATAGTTTTCATATTGAGCCACTAGAAAACTTACGAGTTCAAGGGGATATCGAATTAGAAGAAGATGAAAAATAATCTCATGGTGAAGATGAAAAGCAGGGTTAGAAATTRGGCTAATTATGAGGAAAATARGTGAATCAGTACTCTTCTTTGGAATTTGGAATTATACTATTATAGTTTTATTTTGGTTATGTGTTTGACACTTTCACTTGTTGTCTTTTATTTTTTTCCCTCTTTGGTGTGTTATCTATATGTCCTTGACTTATGAGTGGTTTACTTTGGTTTGATACTTGAATGTTGAATCTTGTTTGGTGGCAAACCATGAAATTGAAGGTATGAATTCGTTGCTCCACAACAGATGCCCAATTTTTCTACACTTTTCTACTTTTTTTTTCCTACATTTTTTGTCATTTCTATTGTTAATAAAAAAATAGTTCTTCTCATTTGTTGCTCCTATTTTGTTTAATGTGATGAACAAATAAGATTAGAGAGATGCCAGATAGCTTACAATTCCCTGCTTTTTTAACTATTTTTGAAGTGATGCATTCCAATAAATCACAAATTTCTGCATTTTTAGCCATTTACATTTTTAACAATAATACCTCTTATTTGTTACACTTATTTTCTTTAATGTGATGAATAGATAAGATTAGAGAGATGCTCCGTTTTGTGTGATTTTCACATTTTTTTCACTTGTTGGCCATGCCCATCATTAATAACAATAGTTCTTATCTTGTTTTTTTATCTGCAAATTTGAGACATTAGAGCTATGCCTAATTGTTTTTTGGAAGATTTTCTGTAATTTTTTTCTGAAAATATATAGTTGGGATAATACTTAGATGATGACGATGACAACACATTTTCTTTTGGTATTCGTTGAGATTAATGCCGAAATAAAGTGGGTATTTTTTGTTACTTAGATCTCAGTCCAAGAACAGGAAAATCAACCATCATGTGAGGAATCCATAATTGAATGGAAATTCTAAGCAACTTTGAAGCAAATGTGATATAAAATATTGTTTTAGTTCTCTAATATTTTTTCATTTATCTTTTCTAATCAATCCTACAACAACATACAGAACCTTTGACTTAAATTTCTTTATCCATTTCAAATATGAAATCACTTGAATGTAAATTTCCATGTTTTTGAATTTGATCATACAATATAACTGTTTGGCAGTCTTAGCCAGCAAGGCAGTACGTTTGTAATCGCTTTCCAACCACGAATAAATTCTAAGAAGGTAATATATACAATAATGTTTCTTAAATTGTTTTTATGTTTCTGCCCACAAATATTGATTTCTTCACATTGAGAAGTGAGAAAAGTTTGTCTTCATTTTTCATTCTTGTTTGGTGGGGAAGAATGGAGCTTGATGTCTCACCCAAGATGGCAAAGAAACTCTACAACGGTGATGGTGGGTTGGTTGTACTATGCATGGTTGCCTTTTGATCTTCCCATGCTCTGAGAGGTCCACATAGGTGCAGCAAAGTTTGTGTTTGAGAAGTATGGTCTTGTTGTTGTTATTCTTATTCTGCTAAGGTTAATTGTTTGTGTTCTTCAAGTTTGGTATATCAAGTTCTTAACCTCCTAGATTTTTTATTGATCTTGGTTTGATCTTATTTGTTTATGTTCAGGGATTGGAAGGGCTGTTGTTCTTCTTCCTGAAGCAGAGAAGGAGAAGAAAAGGAGAAGATGATCTTGATAAAAAAAAAAGGTGATGCACTAGTACTTCGCTCCCTTTCAGTGTTGTTACCTAGTGGTACAATGCAGAGGACATTGGTGTCAACGGTATTTAAAAATTCGATTTTAAATTTGAGATTAACATAATCAAATCGAATTTGGATATGACCCGATTCAATTCGATAGATATTAGAATTCAATTAATTATTTAATTYTTATATATAATATATAAAATATTTAAATATTTTATATAAGGTATATATAATAATTAAACTATATAAATAATTCATATATGCATATACTTTATATAAATAAAATATTCATTTTATTAATTACCTAAAATAATTAATTGATCATATTCGAATTTGAATTCGAATATTAAAATATTTAATCGAATTTAAATATTAATTTTCAATATCTGTTAGATATCAAATCGAATTTGGATATTGTTGGATTCGATTCAAATTCGACCCCTTTACACCCCTATCTTTGGGTAAATATCCGAGCCTTACAAAGTTGGTGAGTTTACTAGTTTCTACTTAACCTGTGGATGTTGAAGTCAAGAATAATGAACTAAGTTGTTTTGAACACCAAAAAACTTGCCTTTGGTTGGAGAGGTTGGACTTGGTGCTGATTGTGTCCAGTTGGCTGGGACTTGGGAGTTCCATGTGTTCCCTTGTTTCTCTTGTGACTGCATTTCGGGTCACCTATGTCGTCTAGGGRACCCACACTTGGTGCTGATTGTGCCTTCAGATTGGAATCTGGGAGTTCCATGGAAAGACTGGGTTCAGGTTATGGGAGTTGATGGTCGYCAGGTCCTTGAAACAACTTCCAAAGCCTGTGATTTATTTATTGTTCCTGGGTTCTTTGCTGTCTTGAAGATTGTTAACTCATATATTATGGAGTGGTTCTCTATCAATACCACTCCAAAGTTGGGCATTTAATAGTCTCATTTCCCAATTTGTAACTTAGTCCTGGTTACAATCTGATTCATCTTGACTCTTCAGTCTCCACTGCAAATTGAAACAAATACTTTTCTTTTGAGGGATTGGGAAGGGGGTTGTTGGTGAGATCTCAATACATGGCAAATCCAAAGAATCAAACTATCATACGAGCTTAGTTGATAGGTTTGTAGATATCTTTAGAGTCATCTAGATTATGGTGGTGAGAGTGACCAATTTGTAAGAAATTTGGGATTTTTGATATATTATTAATAAGATTGCAAACTTAAAAAGTGAATATGGAAAAGAGTTATATTGCAGGGATTAATATGGAGGATAGGGAAGTAGATTCCTTTGCAGAAATTTTGGGATGTGTTAGAACCTCATGGCTGATCAACCCTATTGTGGAAAGGGTAATTAAAAAGTTTTCTGTATGGAAAAGGAATTATATCTTAATGGGTTTGAACAGGTTGGATTTGGGTTGAGCTCCAACCTAACTTGCCAACCTGTGAATAATCTATTTGGAAAAAAAATGGATTGGGTTGAACCTAAACCCGCCTTTTCTTGTGGGCTTTCAGAAAGGCCCACATTTTAGCATCAATGTTTTTTATACAACCAATAGAGCCCATTTTGTCCATTAAAACTTCAGAATTTCTTAAGATGCAACCAAAAGCGCAATTTCCATTTTCTTTTGCCGAGGCATCAAATTTTATTTTTAGAACATTATGGGAAGGTGGTTCCCATCGAATCCAGTTCAAGGTTTTGTTTGTGTTTTGGTTTTAACTTTGGTTTGCATTTGCTCCAAGGTAAATCGTCTTTATTTTGATTTTTTTTCCAATTCTATTTTTTTTATGTGTCAGCTATTTTTTCCTAAAACCAAGGTACCAAATTTTCAATTTTCTCATCCATCATTCGAGTCCATCAAATTTCTAGGTTCCATCCATCTGTTATCACTCAATCTGACATTTGTTGTTTCATTTGGTTCTAAACTTGCTTGGCCACTTGGTAATTCGCCATTATGTGGTTTCTATCCTCCTATCCACAAAAAGGACACTATGCCTATGCTTAGCCCTTTGTCTACCTGCAAATTCTTCCTTTGTCATAATTTGTTTTATATCAATAGCCAAAAGAAAATTTTAATTTTTTCTAACATGAAATTTTCCTTGATTTTTTAATGATTTTATTAGTAKTAGGATCTATAACCCTCTCATCTCTCATGGAATTGGAGGTTGATTTTACTTTGAGGTTTCCATCTGTACATTCACCCCACACTCCTTTATCTTTTTTCTTTAGTGGAGATGTGAAATGCCTTCACTTATAATTTCTTGCGGGCAGCTTTCCTCAAGTTTGGATTGACTCCAACTTTGTTATCAGCATTAATAAAGTGACTTGCTTTCCAGTTTCGAGTTTCCTAAGTCCATGTCCAAGAGGCTAATTTTTAGACAATTTAGACCCATATGCTATTTTTCTCTTTAGGATTTTTCATCCTAATTTCATTAAATTTGTCTAATTTATTTGATACATTTTCCAAATCCCTAAACCACTATTTTTTTTT